GCTCACCGTCTTTCTTCTTTTGCTTTAAGAAATTTTTCCTCAAGACGAGCAATTTCATCACAAATAGCAGCATTTTCCTTTAAGAAAAATTTTGAATATAATCATATAAAATGAATAAAAGATCTAAGTATTATGCTGGGAAGAGGAGCTATATTCCAAACCAAAGAAGTCTGTGTTGGTGGGTAAGAAGGATAAGCTAGTCTACCTTGCAGACAAACTATAAGAAACCTACAGGTAACAGTAGAGTCAAGTTCTATGGGCAGGGTAATTACATAATTTATATAAATGGAGGCACCTTTGAGTGAAAAGAGGAAGCTATCAATGATTATGCCAGAACAATATGGCAAACTATGGCTGTCCAAACCAAACCAAGATGTACGGTGACCTTAATTAGAGTAGCGTTTGTCAGAGAAAAGGGCAAACTGCTCACATTTATGGATGCTTAAATTTAATCCTTATAAATATGAGGAATGTGATTCCCCTGTGTCTTGACTCTTGGGTGCTTAGAAAACCAACCTAACCCAAGGAATCCCAAGCAATATGAAGCTTAAAGAGAAAAACTGGATGGAACAAAATTAACTCCAGTATGTAAAATTCTTAAACTTTATATAATCTACTTATGTCTATTCAACTATCATCTTTCTTTACTGATGACTCAATCCATTTCCCAAGCATCAGTCCTGAAGGGAATGCTCCAATCTGGATGTTCCACAGGTGGGACCTCAACCTCTGAATGTTCAAAACAATATCACTGTTCTTCACAAAACCTTTTTCATGTACTTGATGGAACCAACATCCTTCTAATAACATAGGCTCCAAGCTTTACGTACCTTTGACAAGTAGTGGATAAAAGAAAGGTAAGAGTCAACTAGATATCAAGTCCTCTTAATTCTACTGTTCTTATTTCTCTCCAGTGCACATACCAAGTGCTAAGTAAATGCTTTTGGCATGAATGTTCTAATTTCCAAACCTTTCCTTATGTTTCCAAAAAAGCTGAGAGATGTTCAAGCTTTTGGTAGAAAGAGGTAAAGTGGTGATTTGGATGTGGGAGGACATTTGAGGACTTCACTCCGTATTTCCAAGCACTGAGGCAAGCCTGAACAAGCCAGAATACTGTAACACAAAGTTGTGGCTGGCAACAGTTCATTCATTCAATAAACCCAGGGTCTCTACAATAAAGGAATGGCAGAAACACTTGGGAGACTCAAAAGAGGTTAGAAGGGGGGATTACTGATAGCTTCATGTGCCTATTTACGGAAGGGGTCAGTTATGGGTACGTGGGTTGCTTGGGAAATAGGCTGTGGAGTGCAAGTAATGAAGGAACTAGAATCAGAATGTCTGAGTTGGAGTCTGGGCTCTGACAGAGTGCCCTTGAGCAAATCATCTGTCTGGGTTTCAGGGCTGTCATTTTAAAAATAGTGCCTCATTCTCAGGGTTCTCTTGAGAATCAAACGCATTTCTAAGAGTTTTGTGGTAAAAATGATAAAGACTAAAACTTAGTGACACATGTTCTAGGTACCAAGCACTTTACTTGCCTCATTTAATCTTCATTAACTCTGCAAGGTAGTTAGTTCTCATTTCCAGATGAGGAAGCAGAGCATTAGAGAATTAGGTAATTTGTCCAAACACACAATGCTAGCAAGAAGTAGTGTATACTGCAAAAGCTAACACTATATTAATGCTGCCACTCTGGGAAGGGGAAGAGTTTGGGGAAAGATTCCGCGAGTTAGGAGAGTCTCGGCGGAGAATGGCTGAGCGACGGTCAGACTCACAAACACTGTGGCTTTGGCCGCTTTGCGCAGCCGCAGGTACTTCAGCCGGTACTTCTCGTTCTGGCTCTTCTTCAGGAGCTTTTTCATCCTGGCCTTGCTGGACGGCAGCGCGGCCCGCGGCGAGGAGGCGAGGCCGCCCAGCAGGCTCATGGTCCGGCCCCGCTAAGGGGGCTCCAGGGGGCGGCCGGCATCGGCTCCTAGGACGAGGAGCGGCCGGGAGCGCCCGCTTCGTTTGGTCTGGGCTGGCGGAAGCGGACCTCTAGGAGTCGACCTGTCCAGAACGTCCTCAGGGCGGCTGGCTGGGCCAGAAATTCTGCAACGGAACCCGGCTCCCGGCGCCTCCCAGCACTTCCGCGTCGGCCTCGGAAGTAAGACCTGCCCGGAAGTAACGTAAGGGCGCCGGCCGCGTGTAACTTCCGGGGCTGTGAGAGCATCCGTGCCCCAGCTGGAGGGAGGAGAGGGAGGCGGGCGAGTGCAGGTTGGGGAGAGGAGGGAGGGCCCGCGGCCGGAAACGACTCCGTGACCCACCTCCGTCGGTTTAGCTGAGGGTTAGAATTGTTGAGCTAAGGCACGAACAAACAAAAGTCTTCCCAACGCGAATGTCATCCACGCTCCCCGCAGCCCACTGCGTTTCAGCACCACTTTTCACACTTGGTACAGACTGGCCTTCCCGAGTGTGGGACGCACTTGAACGCGAGTGCTGGTAGTGCTGCTTTCCTTGCTTGCTTCCTTTCTACAGCTCGCATAAGTGTTTCCTGAGTGCCTGTTATGCTGTGATTTTACTAGGAGCTGGGCCTACAGTGGTGAACAGAAAAAAGACCTGTGCGCTCTCAGATTAGAATCTGGTAGGGGAGATGGAAAATTTAACAAGCAGTTTTAATAACATGCTAGCACTAAGTAGGCACTCAGTGTTTGCCTAATGAAACCGAAAGTATGCTTCTGTACGTATACTTATATAGCTCTGACTTGATAACCAAGGTCTATCTGAAATCATCAGATAAGGAGGATACACGATTCTTTAGAGGCAGAATTGGTAAATGCGCTGGTCTGGAAGTCGGAAGGCTTGTATTCATTCTTTTTGCAGCCATGCCACCAACTAGTTGAGTGAGCCTCTCTGGGTCACGGGTTTTTCCTCTCAAAACCGAATATACTCTTTAGAATAATAGAGGTGAATGAGAGTTCTAAACTGAAAGGTACTCTACTCATGTACAGTTAGTGTTATATATTCAAAATGTACACTTCTAGAATTGAATATGAAATTAAGGAAACTGTACGTAGTTAATAAGTTCATTGAATTACTGGAGAAAAATCTAGTGCTAATATAGATAACTTACAATCAGGGTTCAAAAAAGGAGGTTTAGAATTGATGACCCAGGTACTTCATTTCTGAAAATTGTAAAAGTAGTGACAGAGTCTTGACAAAATGGTTTTCACACAGGGAGAAGCCTTATGAAAGTCCCTCTATGTCCATCCATGTTGAAAGCTGCCCTTTTTGGACCTGGCTGGGTTTTAATAGAGCAGTTACTCATGGTGTCAGTGTGCTTTCACAAACATGCTCAAGGCAGCCGTATAGATTCATTTTTGGAAACTGCCAGGAAAATTTTCAGCCTACAAACTATCCATACTCATGCCTTTCATACTATAGATTGACACTTTACCTTGGAAACTGAAAATAGGTAGTTCTAAGATGAAGAGATTTTCTTTTTTTAAAAAAACATCCTTATTTGCTGTCTGATTTATTTCCTATCCAGCTGTATTTTGTCCTTGCAGGCTTTGTGATCTGACTCTATTTTCATTATTCCTCTTCATATACATGTATCATAACTAGTGGGAGGGAAAATGCTATTATTTGCCTTAGTTTTCAAGCTGCTCTGGCTGGTGGATTTCAGTGGAAGTTGCATTTAAAATGTTTATTGTTTCTTCTTCATAGAAATACTTCCTTACAATTTATAAAACATTTCATGCAAGTTTTAAAAATTTGGAAAATATAGTACAAAGATTTTAAAAATCCATAATGCAGCCACATGGAGTGAACCACTTTTAACATGTTAGTATGTGTGTTTAATATTTTCATGCATTTTCATATAGGTTAGATCATACTGAATATAATGTTTCCTTTTTGTTCATGTACCATCATTATAGTCATTTTGTAGTGTTACTGTGACTTCTTTATGAACATAATTTTAAATGTCTGCTTAATGTTCCAATTATGGCATAATAATTTTATGTAACTGTTTCCATGTTGTTTGACTTTTGATCATCAATTGCTGTGAAGTGCATTTTTGTGCACAAAGGTTTTTCAATACAGGCTTATTTAGCGATTGGGTCTGTGTGCTCCAAGCAATGTAAAGTTACCGAACAACTCATTCAGTCACTTATGTATTCAGAAGAGTATTTATTTAGTGCCTGTTATGACACAACCTTGAGGAAACTTATTTAAGAGGGAAAGACAGACAAATAAATGGAGAATATTAATACAGTGTAATAAAATTTTATCTCAGAAGTAGGTAGTGGATGACATGGCAGCACCCTAACTGGGAAGAGGAGAGGAGATGGAAGGCTTCTTGAAGGAAATATGCCTGAGCAGATTCTGAAGGAGAGCTAGTGGTCAGCCCAGTGAAGAACAGAGGAGAGCGTCTTGGGTAGTGGGGACAGCATGTTCAAAGGCTCAGCATCATGAGAAGCATAGGAAAGAAGCATAGCATACTGAAAGTAGTTGATCAGAGTGAAAGATGTATATGGAGAGAGGCAAGGGGAGAGACTGAAGTAGTAGGCAGCATTTGGATATTGAAGGGTCTTGTGTCCCAAATGAAGAGTTAGACTTTTACCCAATGACAATAGGAAGCCATTGATGAATGTCTATATATCAGCCCCTTTGCTTGTTTTATGTAAACTTAGCTGAATTTGTTAGAAGCAACATAACTTTTCTACTTAGCTATATGAAGAAGGGTCTACATGGCCTATGCAAAAATTCTCTGAAGAAATGGGTAATATGCAGCTCTAAAAAGAAATATCAAATGAGAGACAGTGTGGTATTGTGAGCTGAGTATGGCCTTTGGAGTCAGATCAAGATTCCATTAAATCCAGGCATTAGAATGGGAGTTAGAAGCTAAGGTGAGGTGGTGAGTCAGAGAATAGAGAGAAGGGGCTCAACAGCACTTTCCTATTTATCCTGTTTATTTCTAAGGGGTCGCTATTCAGTGATTGGCTGTAACTGGAGATATAGCATCTCCTGGGGTATGAAAAGCATACTAGTGCCCATTAAGAGTTATGAAGGAGTCCGCAGCCTGTAATCTCAGCCCTTGGTGAAGTGAGTCTCTGGTTTAGATGATGAGAAAGTGTATTTGCACACCTCAAGTCTCCACCCATAGCTGATGCACGGCCCTGGCCTTGTTCTACACTCTCCTTAAGCCCCAAGAGCAGATTACAAATTCCTGCCATCAGTATTTCCTGGCCCACTTTGTAGGCGACAGAGAGCCTGGGCAAGGTTGAGGACTTCCACAAAACAAGCTGGGCAAATTCCTTGGATTTCAGGCCACACCAGAGGGTTTCCAGGGATTTTATATCTATATTCTCTTACCAGATTACCATACTTGCTCTTCGGGATAAACTGAGTGTGTATCCTATGAGGCCAATGGAGTAAATATAGTGAGAAGAACCTGCCTCCATGAATAGCCTTTAGAACCTTCTTTTCTTGTAGAATGTCTAGACTTTAATTTTAGTTTTAGTTTTTTTTTTTTTTTCCTGTCCTCGTATTGTGCTCTACACCTAATTTTTTGGTTTTCTGACTCTTCAGTTCCAGTGATCAGATTTGTTTCCATGTGTTGATTATATCTTCTCACGTTTAGGATAACGTGATACAGAATGCATGATTCAGCTGAATCCAAGTTTAGCAATTCTAAAGTGGGTATTTTTGCATATTGGTGTGTGAGGCTTGTGAGGAAGGAGAGAGATTTTTACTTTCCATAAAATTTTTTGCTTCATGGTTTCTTAACTATGGGTTTTCATTACACACCTGGTGGGTGAGATGTTTAGGTTTAGAGGATTCTAAGCCAGCCAATAGAGTCATGAAATCAACCACTGTGTCAATGTTGTGCTTCTCGGTGGTTATGTCCTTCAACACACATAAGACACTCAACCAGCTAAAAGAGATGAGCTCAGAGATGTTGGCTCGGAGGAAAAGAAGGATCACGTTGAGATCATTGATGGGGCATCCCAACATCTTTCTGCTGAGGAGATCAAAAGCTGGGAGCATCTCATAGATGGATAGGAGTCGTTTGTCCCACTGACATAGCCGTGTGAGGTTGTATATTATCACTGGAACCAATAGGGTGTATACTGCCACACTGGAGAGACTAACAATCCGGAAAACAGACAGGGAGGTCAGCCTGCACGTGATCATATCGGGGATGTGAGTCTCATCACTTAGCAGCCCTGTCTTGATGGAACAGCTGAATTCCTCTTGGAAGAAGATATCCAGATGGAAGTAGCCAAGGTACAGGTAGGTGGCTGAGGTGAAGAGGAGCAAGAGGGAGTTCCTCAGGAGGTAAGTAGCCACTAGTGAATGTGAGTGCTGCTTACATGCCAGGTACCGCTCTAGCAAGGGGAATTCAAAGTATCGTTCTTTCCGAGCCCTGGGCAGGGGAAGAAAGAGGCAAGGTTAGGAGGGACCATTTAGAACCATATTCTGAGAGAGCCCATGTGGGGAAGTAACAGAAGCTGTCTATCTGACATGGCGTTCCCCGCTCACATGAAAATCTGCATTCTCAGCATAACCACTCCTCTCCCCAAAATGAGGTGTATGAGTATATCTTAGTTCTCCAAGCAATGAGTGCCATGTGGTTAAACCCAGTGAATGGTCAGTGAATAATGAATGGTCATATGGATTTCTGCCCAGCAGGGCAGACTACTCCTCTAAGTAGGATCCTTAGGAAGCAATAAGGCTTCTTAAATTAGCACTGGACTGGGAGTCTAAATAACCACATTCGGGTCCTTGGTCTGTATACTCTGTGTATGATTTTTAGGCCAATTCATCCATTTTATAAAAATAAATGTGCTAATAAGTGTGTGTTGAGAGCTGTAGTGTTCAGGTACATGTAAGCCAGTCTCTGCTCTGAAGAAGCTTACAGACTAGTTTGTGGGGAAGGAGCAGATAAGATATGCAAACATGAGATGAAAATAGCCCTTGATTTGTTGCTAAAATGGTGGAGACAAACCATGGTAGTTGTAAAAGTTAGGAGAGAGAGGTCACGGTGTGGGCTGGAGTGTTCAGAAACCTTTGTGGAGAATAATGTCTCCGAGTTGGCCTTCAAAATGTAGATAGTGTTCAGAAAGACAGGAAAGGAACTCTTCTTAGAGGATAGAGTAGGTGCACAAACAGGAGACACTATGTTTTCAAATCTTAGCCCAACTGTCCTCTTGGTGGGGCCTACCCTGGCCACTCTTTAAAACTGTCCCCTTCCCCGGCCTGGTGGCGCAAGCGGGTAAGTGCGCGTGCTCCGCTGTGGCGGCCTGGGGTTCGCCAGTTTGGATCCCGGGCGCGCACCGACGCACCGCTTGTTAAGCCATGCTGTGGTGGCATCCCATATAAAGTGGAGGAAGATGGGCACAGCTGTTAGCCCAAGGCCAGTCTGCCTCAGCAAAAAAGAGGAGGATTGGCATTGGATGTTAGCTCAGGGGTTGTCCTGCTCACAAAAAATAAAAAATAAAGAAAAATAAAAATAAAACCGTCCCCTTCCTCAACCTTCCAGCTTTCCTGAGACCCCTTACCCTGCTTTTGTTTTTTTCCCTTCATACCACTTATCTTCCACCGTATGACTTACTGAGGTGTTATGCTTTATTCCTTGTCTATTTTCTCTCAATAGGATGTAAGCCCCACATGGGTAGGTGTAGTTTTTCTTCCTCCCCACCCCCACCCTGACCCTGGCACGCATTCACACATATCCGAAGCACCCAGAACAGTGCCTGGTACTCAGTAAATGATGGATGAATGCTTAAAGGAATGAATGACTTGTTCAGGAGAAAAGGAGGAGACTGCTTAGGTAGACTGGAAGGTTTCTGTCACTTGGTAGTTGGAGAGAAGTTTGAAAATGTAGTTGGTGACAGTGTGTGGAGGGCGTTGGAAAAATATTTGGGAGAATTTGGATATTTTTCTGTAGGCTTGGGGGGGTAGCTATTCAAGGTTTCTGAGCAGGGGAATGGTATATGAAAGTGGCATTTTAGAGAGATTAATCCCTTTGTGACTCAGTGTGTTCGTAGGTAAACTAGAGGTAGAGTCCTTTCTCTTCTCCAGTACAGAAATGATAGAAAGTTAATGAGATGATGTGTTAAGCACTTTGAATTCTTGAGAAGTATGGTATAGAAGATAGTTTACTTTGCAAGGATGTCATTTTAATGCTGAGTCCTTCATAAAGGAGTGGAAGACAACTCACTTCTCCAGCTCATCCCAGAAAACATGGGGGTCCGAGCACTTCTGCTGGATCTTCACCATGTGCTGCACCAGGCGGATGGAGCGATTATAGGATTTGTCCAGTTCACTGATGATGAACAGCAGATCTGAGCTGAGGACCGGCACAGCTGCGTACTGCCACAGCAGAACTGGGAGGTACATGACCACAGCTAGGACCAGCATGGAGTAAGGGAGGGCCTGCAGGAGGAGAGTGAGCTGAGGAGGGAGGCCCAGGGTGCTGGGACCTTGTGGAGACAGCTCTGAGTGAGGGGCTCTCATTCCCTGGTTCCTGCCTCAGAGAGGGAAGGCAGTGTGGGGAATGAGTACCACAGGCCCAGGACCTAAGGCTCTCTGCTAACCTGGCTGAATATAGTGAGGCCCAGGAGAGAAGGGATGGTGGATATCTATGCTCTCCAGCTCCACTCTTCAGATATGGGGTCTGTTTAGGTGTGTAGGGCCCCAGGGAAAGGGGAGGCAGACGGACAGGGAGGAGTGTGCTCCCCATTCTCTGTTCTCCATGATGTTAGCCTGGGTAGCTAACTAGAGATCATGGCATCTTAGGGGAGAGCATCTTCATTCTCAGTCTTCCACCTTTCTTTCTTTGACTGCTCTAGGTTCTCATCACGAGACATTTAGAGTTCATTAGCTTTTAAACTCCAGCCAGGGGCCCCAACATTGCTGGCTTTTACTTAGCTGCTCCAGAGAGGAGGTCAAATCCTATTTCCTTCCCTGACTCCTCTCATGTGCGGTGGTCTTTTCTCATTTCCAGTTTCTTGGTAATACCAAACCACACCATCAGCCACTATCTTGGAAGTCTTTGGGGCCATTTCTGGTAAGTATGTATATAAACTGACATTGAGTATGCATAAGCCTTGTGTCCTGACTACACTATTTGCTACCTGAGGTAGGGGACTTCTCCTAGGTTTTCTCATCATACTTACCACAGCTAACAGGGTTGGGCCCACTATTTTGCCCATAGTAAAAACTCTGCTTGTAAAGGCTTTTTTAAGCTACATTTGTACTAGGTGCTTAACATGCATTATTTCATTTGATCTTTACAAAGTTGCTATCAGGTAGGTACTATTGGTATCTATTTTACAGACAAAGAAACTGAAGCGTGAAAAGGTTAAATAGCCTGTACAGGGTTACATGTCTAGTGGGTAAGTGAGCAGATTTGGAACTAGGCTGTCTGATTTTAGAGCTTATTCCCTTAACAACTACTTGACTACAGCTTGTCCTGAACCAGAGATGCTTTTTATTTTAGAGGAGAGTTTGAAAAAAAAGAGGGAGGATGCATATTTGGTTGCATCTAGATAGAGGAGAAAGGTATGTGTGTGTTTCCCAAATAAACAAGAGAGACAAGTTAGGAAAGGTATATTAGGCCACCAAAGAAAATTAGAACCTTTTCAGTCCTGTCTAAGAAATGACATTTCTTGAAAATAGGCTCTTCACCCCTAGAGATTCTGTTTCAGTAGGTTTGAAGTGGAGCCAGAGAATCTGGGTGTAAAGAGCTCTCAGGCGATCCTGATGATTAGACAGTTTAACTCTTTTCTGACATCTGAATCCCCTCTGTGATATCTTGAACTTGTTGCCATCTAGATCCTGTTTAAACACTTCCAGTGATAGAGACCTCAGGAACTCTTTCCATTAAGACTGTTGTTTTGTCTGGGTCCTAGAACTGTGGCAATTCTGAAGCCTTGTAAATTGTCACAACTAGAAAATGTCATGAGTGACTTCTGATTAAACATTGTGAATTGGATGTACATATTACTTCTGCTCCCTCGTGAACCTCCACTAGAATGACAGTAAAGGGATCAAAAAGACATAATCTTATAAAGACAAAGAAAACAGGAGAGGAGACAAGAGCAACAAAATGTTGAAAACTGGAAAGCAATTGTATGGTATAGAAGACACCAGCCTGTGGGGTGGATGGAGAATTGAGGCAGGCACAAGCACGCTATTTTGTACCACAAAACCAGAAAGACTCAGGAATCGGAGATACCAGGTATGTCTGAAAGTGGGCGTGCAAGTGGGGCTGAAAGTGAGAATGTTGAAAAATAGACCTGCAGGTCCTTTCTGTAACATGATGCACTCAAGCAACTACCCTTTCCCTCCCCTGGCAGAAGGCTTCTGCTTTACTCTTTGGAAATATTAAACCAGAGAGATTCTGTACTTGTGTCCATTGAGAGCAGGGGAACCATCCTGAGAACGGGAGGATAAGTTGAATGAATACTGAATACTGAGACCCACAGTTGACTTCCAAGAGGGTGGACAGCTGAGATTGATAATAACTGCCCCCTGTCCCCTCTGCACGAATTAAAGATCAAATCACTCTTCTTGGGAAAACTGACCGGCCCAAAAGGAAGGATTACAGATAGTGATTTTTGAGGTTTTCCCAATGAAATGGTCCAAAGGGATCACGTTAAACTCAAGGCTGCCAGTCAACAAGCCTCACCTAAACGCACAAAGCTTCCAATTAGATAAAAGTGGGCAACCAGAGATCACCAGACATATGAAGACTGCCTGAAACATGAAAGTCAATGACCAAAATAAAAAAGTAGGGAGAAGCGGTGAAGAGGCAAGAGAGAACATAATGATGCAGTTCCGTCCCACTCCACTCAGCCATGAAGCCAGCCTGATAGAGTCCCAGGCCACCTTACCTTGTGAGGCCAGAGGGATTTCGTTTTGACCCAGTCAAACTCATCCTGTTTGTGGTGAACCAGTGAGTCCCAACAAGAACTGTCCACGTAGGCAGCTTGATGGACACTGAAGTTACTGGGAGAGAAGCAGCTGATGGGAGACCCTGGAACAGGAATACAGCTTTGAGAGCTCTGAGTTGGAGCAGAGGAATGGAATCCACAGTGCAATCAGCTAAGTTTTCTAGGGGCTGCCCCTACCACTCTGCTAATTTCTATATCTGGGAGGTGCTTTCTTCTTCCCATGTCCCAGTTTCTGGGTTTGGTACTGCTGTGTCACTGTAGGACTGTTTGGCCCAGGCCTGCCAAAGTGGTGACTCGTCTTTATGACTACCAGTCATTCTTTTCTCTCAGAGCAACCTCTGGACTCCCAGACAGGCAGGCAGCCAGGGCCCCCTGCACTCCTGCAGTTTGACACCAGAGGGCTTACGGTTTGATGGTGACATCTCCTTCCTGAGAGAGCTGACATCTTTTAGGTTCCAAAAGAGGATTAATTTCCTGGACTTCTGAGCCCAAATCAAGAGAAAGGGTGTGCATGTAGTGCTGGAAGGAAAGTGGGCTTGGAGGGAGAGTCTCTGCTTTTTGCATCACTCTCTAAAAAGGGGCAGAAATGGGAACCAATACTTCTCCCCATCTTGTGGGTGAATGAAGATGCAGTGGGAGGTTGACACACCTCCTTGGGAAACACAGTAAGCTAATCACACAGCCAGAAAAGAAAGCCGGAAATCCCAGTTCTCGGAGAGTCCACATTTTCTTTAGTAGAGGCAGCAGATTTGCTGAGTTAATATAGCATCTAGAACTAGATACATGTGTTTTTGCGTGTGTGGTTGGAGTTCCTGGAGAGGAAGGAACATCATATTCAGCACCTGTGATGTGCCAGGCTCTGTCAGGCACTTAATATATGTTCTCAAATCAGTAACCCTGGAGGTGGGGAATAGGAAGAAGGCTCTGAGAAGGTAAGAGACTTGTCTGGAGCATGGCTGAGTAAGACCTTTAGAGGTTCTAGGTCCTGAAAAGACTATTAGGCCCCAATCTCTCTCATCCATTTGAAAATCAAAATAAAAGTTTAATTATTGCCATGACATAAAATATGTGAATACCAGAATTAAAACTAAATATTTTTTATTGCAAAATTTTGGAAATAACTTTCAAAATCTTTTGGTGCCTCTGCTTTGCTGGTGTAGGGGAGGAAGACAATTTCACTACTCTCTAGGTCCTTCTGGCTGGCCTACGAATTAAATTGACATGAGACAGAATAACAGGAGAAAATCAAAGCTTTATAACATGTATACATGGGAGAAACTCAGGAAAACTGAGCAACTCGCTGGAATGGCCAAAGCCGCCACCTTAAATACCATTTTCAGCTGATGACAAAGGAGGATGTTGGGGGTGGCAGGAGTCAGTTATGGAGATTACCAGAAAAAAGCACGGTAAACAAGAGTAAGGTTATTATGCAGATTTAAGTCCTTGCCTTCCACATTGATAAGAGTTTCTAGAGATAAGGTCATCCCCTTCTTCCTGGTACAGAGAGGGAGACATCTTTACAAATGGAGATTTCCCTTACAAATGTAAATGTCTCTTACAAAGGGTAACTTCTAGTTTGTTTTCAGAGCTTTTCCCATGTCTGAAATTTTTTAAAAGAATAACCAGCCAAAAATAATCCTCATACCAAAGAGACACATCTTGAGCTGGCAAATTCTGCTCCCCTACACTGGTGCTCTAAACTCATGCATAGTCTGCCTTTTGGGTAACGCCCAGCCCAGTCATGAAACCTAGACACTGAGAGCTGTCACACTTCAGACCCCATGCAAAGAGTCAAACAAAGTGGAATCTCTTTTATACACTGGGTCTTGGAAGCCACTTACCGGAGGAGAACTCCTGGGCAAATGTCAGGGACATCAGCAGCAAAGGGAAGCCCACGGCTACAAACTTGACCATCCGGTCCAGGGGAAGTTCCAGGCGCAGTCTTTTGAGGCGAGGGCCCCTGTGGTCCGGCAGCAGGGCATCTGAGAGCATGTACTCTGCAGCTGTGTGTGCAAGCGACATGATGCTGCTGAGATTTGGGGAGCAGAGGCAGCAGGAGGGGTCCCAGGATAGTAGAGTGAGGAGATGGCAGCTTCAGGCAGCTGGCTTTGAGGAGACAGTGCCTGCAGCCCCAGCCTCGCAGATATCTGTGCTAGGAGCAGGCGCTGGTTCTCTAAATAACTGGCCGGGCCCTGAGCCAGGAACCTCTTAATTAGAGGGAGGCGTAACTTAGTGGGTCCTCACTGGAGGAGGGTCGGGCTTTGGCTGGGGCTGGTGCCAGGCTGCTGTCTCTGGATTGTCCCTGAGCAGCTGGAGTCCTGTGGCTTTATGCTGCCCTCTCATTATTAAAGTATTTTTAGTGGGGTGGTGGAGAGAAGGAGGGCTGTGTAGCCAGGCCCCCCATGTAATTGGTGTGGAATTTGGGTGGAGATTGCTTAACTGTGTTGAAGGCCCTCGTTTTGTGGTTTGGGGTGGGAATGGAGCCCCCAGGACTCAGCTAGGACTGCTACTCCTGTATAGTATTCTTTGTCCTGCTGATGACTTTGCTTAGGGTCCATGCTTTTTCCCAGAATCGGCTCTGAATTTGGTATTAAATTTCCTTCCTACCTCTGGTCTTTTTCCAGATATTTCAACCACATATATTTATAATTTCCATAGAATTTACCTTTTTTTTTTTTAGCCCCATCAGTTCTCTAGAAAGCTGAGGGGTGGGTGGCAGTGTTGAGTAGTGGAAAGAACATAACCTTTGAAATTTGGAGGGAAAAGTCTTCCACTGGAGACCTAGCAATACTCATTTTTTTACTGCATGATTTCAGGCAAGTCACTTTTGGCTCAGTGTGCTCATCTATCAAATGGTATTAGGTTGTAATCTTACAAGATTGTGAGGATTGATTAAGAGTATTGTATGTGAATGTGCTTTGTAAACTGTCAAGTGTAGGGCAAATGTCAACTCCTACTTCAATTTGGTGGGGTTGGGTGAGTGGAAAAGCTAACACTGGGGAATAGGGCAGTCTTGTCTCTAGCACAGCCCTGAGACTTGGCAAGAGAGGCCCTGGCCTGGGCCTTTGCACTGGTGCCGTTTGGCTGCATCCTTCTCACAAGGCAAGGAGTCCATGGGGCCAAGGGGATGTGCCCATTCAGAGCCCATGCACCCCCTCCAGACCACTCTTCTGGCACCTGGGATGCTGCCATTCCCTGCCCAGATGGCCCCAGGATGCTTCAAGGGCCTGTGTGGGCCATTTCCTCAGGTGCATCCTCTCAAGGGTAGGTCATGCTGCTGGTGTGCACCCCCAGGCCTAAGGAATGGCTCATTGTGGGGGTTTGGATGGAATTGAGAAGTCCTGGGGTGCCCACACATGCAGTTGTGAGGCTTCTTGCAATGTGAGACCTAGCTGGGTTGGGAAGAAGGGGCCGGTGAAGTCTGAGGATTCTAAATTTGAACCTGGCATTCCTGATCATTATGAAGGGTGTGTGTGTGTGTGTGTGTGTGTGTGTGTGTCTGTGTCTGTGTCTGTATATGTAGAGGTAGGCAGATAGAACATATTTTATTTAACAGTTTGTTAGCTTGATTTATAACTTTTAATTTTTTAGATATATAGTGTGTGGACCTCTATTTGCACTGCTTTTCTTTGGCCCACCAATGTTTGGACTGGGCCTGCCTCTCTCCCTGTCCCCAGGCTAGAGGCAAACTCTGATTCAGAGCTACCCTATGTGTGCTAGCTAGAGTGATCCAGGCCTGGGAGCAGGAGAAGGGATCCTTTACTTCTACTCCCTGTTAGCCTCTCCACACTCCCATTTCTGATTCTTTCCATTGTGTGTGTGTGTGTTTTTTTTTTTCCGAGGAAGATCAGCCCTGAGCTAACATCCATGCTAATCCTCCTCTTTTTGCTGAGGAAGACTGGCTCTGAGCTAACATCTATTGCCAGTCCTCCTCCTTTTTTTGTTTTTCCCCCCAAAGCCCCAGTAGATAGCTGTACGTCATAGTTGCACATCCTTCTAGTTGCTGTATGTGGGATGCGGCCTCAGCATGGCCGGAGAAGCGGTGCGTCGGTGCGCGCCCGGGATCCGAACCCGGGCTGCCAGCAGCAGAGCGCGCGCACTTAACCGCTAAGCCATGGGGCTGGCCCCCATTGTGTGTGTTTTTGCTTATTATTGGTTTGTATGTGTATATTTTCTTTTGCCTTTTAAAAATAGTTTACATTTTTATTGTAGTATAATATACATACATTAATATGCAATAAGTGTGCCGTTCAGTAAACTTTTATATGATCAAGAAACAGATCCTTACTAACACCCCAGAAGCCACCTTTGTCCTCCTTTCTAATAAGTGTCATTTCTCAAAGAGTGATCATTATTCTAACTTGTAGTAGCTTCGATTAGTTTTGCCTTCTTTATAGAAATGAAATCATATGTAAATAGTCTTTTGTGTCTGGCTTCTTTTGCTCTACATTATGCTTATGAAAATCATTCATTTTATTGCCTGTTTTTGTACTTTCTATAAATGGAATCATATGTGTGTATTTTTTATGTCTGCATTCTCTGCTCAACATATTTTTGAGACACATCATGTTGTTTTATGTATCAGAAATCCATTCCTTTTTATTGTACAGAAATACAAAAATTTGTTTATCCATTGATGGACATTTAGGACCATCAATGGTTCAATTGATGGACATTTGGGTTTCCAGTTTCTGGCTATTACAAAATAATGCTGTGAACATTATAATATATCTTAAGGTGAATCTATACATTTCTGTTGGGTATATACCAATGAGTGGAATTGCTGGGTATAATGCTTTGCATGTGTTCATCTTTATTAGTTTTCCAAGTGGTTGTATCAGTTTTCATCAACAGTTTATGAGAATCCTAGTTGCTCCACATCTTTACCATTATGTTTTTGCAATTAAAAAAAATTTAGCCATTTGGCAGTACAGTATTTGACATTGATCTTAGCAGCATCTTTTCAAATAACATGTCTGACTGGGCAAGGGAAACAAACAAAAAAATTAACAAATGGGACTACATCAGACTAAAAAGCTTCTGTAAAGCAAAGGAAACCATGAACAAAACGAGAAGACAACCCACCAACTGGGAGAAAATATTTGCAAATCACTTATCCGACAAGGGGTTGATCTCCAAAATATATGAAGAACTCATACAACTCAATGACAAAAAAACAAACAACCCAATCAAAAAATGGGCAGAGGATATGAATAGGCATTTTTCCAAGGAAGATATACAGATGGCCAACAGACACATGAATAATTAGTGATGTTCAACATCACTAATTATTAGGGAAATGCAAATCAAAACAGCAATAAGATATCACCTTGCACCGATCAGAATGGCTATAATTACAAAGACAAAAAAACAACAAATGTTGGAGAGGATTTGGGAGAAAAAGGAACTCTCATGCACTGCTGGTGGGAATGCAAACTGGTGCAGCCTCTATGGAAAACAGTATGAAGATTCCTCAAAAAATTAAAAATAGAAATACCATATGATCCATCTATCCCACTACTGGGCATTTATCCAAAGAACTTGAAATCAATGACCCAAAGATATTTATGCATCCTTATGTTCATTGCAGAATTATTCACAATAGCCAAGATGGGGAAGCAACCCAGGTGTCCATCAACCGATGATTGGATAAAGAATATGTGGTGTGTGTGTATATATATATATATATATATGGAATACTACTCAGCCATAAAAAAAGACAAAATCATCCTATTTGCAACGACATGGATGGACCTGGAGGGTATGATGTTAAGTGAAATAAGCCAGACAGAGAAAGACAAATACTGCATGATTTCACTCATATGTGGAATATAACAAATACCTGGATAAAGAGAACAGATTGGTGGTTACCAGAGGGAATGGGGTAGGGGGTGGGTGAAAGGGGTAAAGGGATACATATGTACGGTGATGGATGATAATTAGACTACTTGGGGTGACCACGATGAAGGCTACTCAGAAATTGATAAACAGTAATGTACACCTGAAATTACACAGTGTTCTAAATCATTATGATCTCAATAAAGTTACCAGAAAAAAATATTTAGCCATTTTGGAAGGTGTGTGGTAGCATTGGATTGGGGTTATAACCTGCATTTCTCTGACGATGAATGCAGTTGGCCATTTTGATCATTTGGATCTCTTCTTTTGTGAAGTATGTCCAAGTCTTCTTTCACTCACTTTTCTTTTGGGTTGTCTATCTTTTGATTATTGATTTGTAGGAGTTCTTTTTATATTCGGGGTATGAGACCATTACCAGATATATGTTTTATTTATATCTTCTCCCACTCTATTGGTTGACTTTTTATTCTCTTAATGGTGTCTTTTAATGACTAGGAATTCTTACCTTTACCATAGTCAATGTATCAATTTTCTTCTTTTATGGATAGTGCTTTATGTATCCTAATTAATAAACTTGGGTTATTCCAAGGTCCTGAAAAATTTTTCCTAGCTATTCTTTAAAATATTCTTGTTTTACTTTTCTCATGTAGATTTGCAGTCCATCTGGAATTTGTTGTTTAATACACTGTATGAGATAGGGAGTTAAGATAACGTTATTTTCCATGTGAATATCCAACCAACTCAGCACAATTTATTAAAAAGACCATCCATTTCTCATTGTAATGCTGTTTGCTGTTGTCATAAATCAGATGACAAGTTGTCTATTTTTGTACCAATACTACACTATTTTTACTATTATAGCTTTATAATAGGTCTTTGCACCTGTAGTGTAAATCTCCTTGTTCTATTATTTTTCAGGATTGTTCTGGCTGTTCTTGACCTTTTGCATTTCTATATTAATTTTACAATCAGCTTATCAATTTCAAGAAAAAAAACCCTGCCAGATTTTTTTATTGGGACTGTTAAATCTGTAGCTTAATTTGAGGAAAATTGATGTCTTTACAGTGTTAAGTTTTCAAATCCATGAACACAGAACACAATAAATATCCCTCCATTTATTTAGGTCTTCTTTAATGTCTGTTCATAGTGGTTTTTAGTTTCCAGTGTGGCTGTCTTACATATCTTTTGTTAAGATTTATTCTTAGGTGTTTGATGTTTCTCAAAACTGTTGTTAATGGTATCTTTTAAAAAATTTGATTTCTTATTGTTGGTAATATATGTGAAGACAACTCATTTTTGTACATTGATCTTTTATCCAGCAATCTTGTTAAATTCATTTATTGATTCTAATAGTTTGTAGATTCTTTTGGATTTTCTATCTATGCAACTATGTAATCTATGAAAAATGACAGTTTCACTTTCTAATCTTTGTGCCTTTTATTTCTTAAAAAAATTATTTTTCTTGCCTAATTACACTGGTTAGGACTTCCAGTGCAATATTGAATATAAGTAGTAATGGTGAGTATCCTTGTCTTGTTCCTTTTTTCTCTCTCTTTTTTAAAAATTTTTGGTGAACATTCTTTTTCAGATTAAGGATGTTCTCTTATATTCCTTATTTGCTAAGTGTGATTATTATGAATGGATTTTTAAAATATATATATATCTTTTTCTTTTTTCTCCCCAAAGCC